AGGAAGGGCACGGGCGGGGGAGGCGCCGAGAGCCCCTTCCGCTGCCCGCCTGGCGCGTGCGGGGTGGCAGCAGGGATCCGGCGTTACCGGGAAAGAAAACGGGGGGGTTCTACATCACAGTAACCAACTGAGAGAGTTTGTCTTGGGGGATAAGAGCTTTTCCTGCCTCTGCTGGGCCTACGGCCTATGGCCTCTCTCCCATAAGTTTTTAGGTTCCCTCTTGGCTTTTTTTCCCATGTTTATTCACAGCTGGACATCTGACCATCCAGACAGTTTAAAGTGCCTGCAGCTCCTATGTTGGGTTGTGGGGTTTTTTTGTTTTTTTTTTTCTTTCTCCTTTGTAGTTGTGGGGCTTATACCAGATAACCCTGCTTTCTAAGATAGTGATGCATTTTAGATTTAAGTACAAGTCCTTCCGGTATGTTTCCCGTTAACATCTGTGACTTTCAAAGGTCATTCCTAGATGATAGTCCTAACAGCGGAGTTGGATGTTAAAATTTTAATTCTTTTAAGATTTTAATAAGAGTATCTTTCTGCCTTTATTTAGAAAACTAAGAAATGCTTTCAGCAAGATCTTTTTCTGAAGTACTTTGATTATTGAAAGTGTGTTAGTGCTCTTGCATGAGCATTTCATGTGAAAGAGAGGCAGAGCTTGGTGTTGGATTTTATTAAGTATTCAAGAAAGTACTTCTGGCTTTTACTGTAGTAATCTTGTTGCTAGCTAACTAAAGCCCAAAATAGCAGTTGGTATGCTAAATATATTCAGTAGGTGCATTTATTTCTTAAAAGCATTATGCCTAATCTTCATCCTGTTTGTAGGCAGATGCGGTCAAAGGTGACAAAAGTTTCTTGGTCTTTGTAGTCTTTTCTGCTGTGTTCATTATTTCACATACCAGTAGGTTCTCTGGCCTTTGTGTTGGGAGACTAACACGTTGCAGGAGATATTTGAGCTTGTGCAAGGTCACACAAAGTCAGTACAAACCGTAAGGCCTTTTGAGTTCAGCTCAGGACATCAACCATAACACAGCTCAAAGTGGTTTTTTATCAGCTCTTGGAATTTGTCCTTGTTAACCTGTCAGACCAGAGGTAGAGAAATGAAATAAGTTACAATGTAGCTGTCTTAACCAAGTTTACTCTATTATGTGGTGTATATTTATATTTGAGTAGCTTCAGGGTGTTTCAAGTCAGTGTCTAGGTAGGTTAGAATAAATTTTTGCCCTCTGTACTGCATGTTTAGACAGTTTTCTGGTAACAATTTCTAGGAAATTTGACCCTATTTCTTAAATAGGAAGTCTGGTATTTACTGTAGCTTTTTTCATGACAGTGCTATACCACTGCAAACTTAGGTACCTGTAAAGAGCTCAAGCCTAATTGGTCCTGGCTGGCTTTTCTTAATTACTGGTTTTGAACACCTAGCCGACGGGTCAGTCTGAATAGCATTGTAATAAAGCAGATGCATAAAAGACTACTTTCCTGTGGCTTCTTCAGACATTTGTCTCTCCTTTGAGGTGTATAACTTCTAACAGTAAATTTCTGTGGAAAAAGAAGCCTGAACAAATTCTTCTGGTATCTGAGCAGCCCGGTGACTACTGCAGTGCTGTTGTGCTGCAGGTCAAAGATACAGCTAGAGTGAGCTGCCCCAGAGTACAGAAACAGAGTGTTCTCTGATTACACCTGCATAGCAAGCTTGGTGTGTCTTTGTTTAATCAGTCATTCTGGTAAACCGTAAACAGAATATTACTGCTGTCTACAAGTCTGGTAGCCTAACCAAGCTATTTTAGAGGTATGCATAAGTCCCAGACCAGCGTATTTACAGTCTTGAGCACTATCTCGGTCAACAAAAGTTCTCATAAGTTATGCTTTGCTCTTGCTTTTAAGTAATTTCTTGCTTTAAGCTTAGGCTTAGCATGGTACCTGTGTTTTGGTATTTGCTATTTTAGAATAAAGAAAAAAATTTGACATTTTTATTGTCTCAGTGATTAATTTTGAAGACTTAAGATGAGAAGTGTTAATACAAAATGTGACATAAGATCTGGAACGTTTGGGGAAGAAATCCCTGACACTAGTGAAGTTACGAGCCAGAGAAGCCTGCTAGCATTAGCTCTGTTGATGCTGTTGAATGTACTTGTAGATTTATGTTCATCAAGGAATTTATTTCAGAAGCAAAAAGACAGGGCAAAGAAGTTCTGAAGAAGATAGGCTTTTGCTTTTTTGATTTTCATTATTGTTTCTCTGGAGATAGTTCTTATTAAGTTGTTGTAATGCTTTAATGTCTCTGTCATTTTATTGAAGTAACATCACTAGATCTAACAGCAAAAGAAACCTAGATTATCTCTTTCTACTCTGGAGAATATTTTATGCATACGTTGTTTTCTGTATGCTTATTCAGTATATTAATTTTGCTTTTGCTTATGTATTTAAAATAAGTGTAATAGCAGAACTGTGCTACTATCTTATGGTTATTTTCTACGTTAATTGTAAATTTGAGTGTTTCGTTGTTGCACATAATCATACCTTCTGTAGTTTCTTCAAAAATGGAAACTGCACTGTTAGAATTGATGAAGGTCAATAACTTTAAGACTAGGTGGTTTTATACACAGTACTGTATGGAACAGTGCAAATGAAGTATCCCGTGATTAAATGTGATCTGAAAGATTCTTTCATGAACCTTGTTTATGACTGCTGAATGTGATTAATTTAGGTCCGTAATGCAATTTCATTAAAGAGAAACTGTATAAATCTGAAATTTTGTATTTGAAGGAAAATTTTTTAAAAAAAAAATCTATATATGAACTCTGAAAAATACTTGAAAATGTATCTGCATAAGGAAAAATCCAGTGCTGATCTTGTAGCTCTCTCTAGTCTCAAATACAGAAGTTGGACTGTCACAGACTATTTAACCCGAAGAAGCTTTGTCTTCAAACTTCTAGAGAAATGCTATTCTTGCTTAATTCCTGGATTTGAGTCAGAGTTTCTACTAGCAACTTCTGGTATTAATTTCTATGGTTTAAGTGTGCGGTGATCTAAAACTGTTTCTTCCATTGCTTTTTTTAAAGAAACAAACTTAATTTGGAAGGTTTAGAATAAAATCTCGTCGGTTCAAAATATGTTGATTTAAACAAGTGAATTACTTTTGTGTATAACTTTACAGTTGAATAATATAGCATGGGAGATCAATTTAATACTTTTGAGAAGGTAACGTTCGGTCTTTTTTCCTTTTCTGATCTTTGTTACTGTTTATGATCATATATATATTTTTTTATTTCAATTAACTAGAATACAGCTGTGAATATGGCTCAGGCAGATTCTTTATGCTTTGTGGCCTTGGTGGAATTATTAGCTGTGGAACAACACATACAGCGCTGGTTCCTCTAGACCTGGTTAAATGCAGAATGCAGGTTTGTTCTGCATGTTGGTATGTCATGACATTGACAAAGCATGTTTAGTGTGGTATATTTAATCTACTAATGAATTGAAGGCCTAAGCTATCCCCTGGACGTCATTGTACAGCAGTGCATGGAGTTTATATAAAAGCATGGTGTGTCTTTATGTTTTGCTGCAGAATACAGTTGTGAATATGGCTCGCTCAAGTTTTATGCTCTCTGTGGCGTTGGTGGGGTCCTAAGTTGTGGCCTGACACACACTGCTGTTGTACCTCTGGATTTAGTGAAATGTCGTATGCAGGTTTGTATTAACTTAATCATTTCTTAAACTCTGTGTCTCTGTGTAGCCAGCATATTAAGAATTTACAGTAGGGATGCAGTTTTGTCTCTGACAGTGAGTAAGCTTTTTCTCTGAAGCAGCTTGAATGCTGCTTTATCAAGTTGTGTACTGTGAGACTAACAAAATACTGCTTTAAAGAGAAGCAGAGGCATTTAGGATATTCTGGGTTAATTATTTTTGAGTACACTTAAGGCAAATTTAGTCAACTGCATTTGCTAAAACACACCACAGTTTTACGCTTTGCTGGCTAGTAGGGCACTCTTTGTGTGCTTTTGGAGAAAGGAAATAGTATTTTTGGTATTTTGAAAATCTACGTTTTTTAACCTGGAGTGACATGCGTGTACAATTTGATCCATTAACATTGTGGATATCAATGCATGGCTTATGGATTGGATGTTTTCTAATGATGCCACTTTGAATAGAATGGGCAAAAGTTGAAATTATATTGGTAAGGCCGTCAGTGCTTGTGGCTAGTTTCCTTGAAGTGTGCTTTGTGATTGAACTGAAAAGAGTGCCATCACGTTGCACTTAATTTGCAGTACCAGCTTCTGCATTACAATCAACTAATGAGCAGCCATAGGTAAAAACATACTAATGGATTTATTTGGGCAAATCTGTGCCTCAGGAACTAAGCAAATTAAAGCATGCTTCTAAATTTCTGAAAATACAGTTAATTCTCTGTTGGATAGGCTGACACTGATTACAGAAGTGGCAATTTTGTAGTGGTAGAACTCATGAAATTAGAAGGGAACTATGACTGAGTCAGACCTGCTGGTTGCACTAGAATATGGTGTGTGATATTCTTTAAAATTGTGTTTTTCTGGAAAGCCTTTATTTAGCATTCTTTACAAGAATGGCTTTTTCATATGCTTGAGAGCACCTGAAATTCTGGTCTCAGACTAGTAATTCTGTAACACATTGGACAAACACAGAGTGCACTGGATGAGGACAGAATGCTGCTTTCTACACAACCTGCATTGAGACCAGGCTAACTGTGTAGGAATCAGTTATTTCTACTGGTAGGGAATAGCAGTAGCTGAGTAGGTGTTTCATTTCTGACAGTATAGCTTAAGCGCGGTCTTCTGTTGTCATGGACTTCAAAGTCCAAGTTTGGTAGCTTGACTACCTATACCTAGGGTTGAGTTTCTTATGAAGGATGAGATTGATCATGGGTAAAGAAGATGTAGCATCTCAAACAGTTCTTAGTCTGACTGAAAATTGAGTTAATGGGCAGAATGCCTGAGAACTATGCAATGGTGCCTATGCAACTGGGAGCAAGGATCTGTACTTCCTAGGCTTCAGCTGCTTAGTAGGTATGCTCAGCTTGGGCTGCCAATCCTGAGCTTCTTTCGTGGTAAGGATGGTAATACTTCCTCTTCCTTTTCCAGCACTTAAAGGAAGTTGCAAGAGGAGGGTGCTGTGTTGACTCCAAGTGTGACCTTGTAAAATGTGTCAGCGTTTATCTCTTTACAGATCCAGTACAGAGAATGTTAGTAGTCCTGCCTAGGTTCTCCTGGAAGAAACCTGTTGCCTGCACTCTGATGTGTTTTTAAGAAGAGGTCGTCTTTTATGTAGATGATAATTAAGCGTGGTTCTGACATGAACATAGGCTAATTTTGCAGTGTCCAGTTAAATACTCCATTTTCTGGAATTCTGAATATTTTAAAATTGACGTGTTTCAGTGAACTAGTTCTCAAGTAGGTTCTTGTCAGACGGCAAGAAAAAATATGAGTTGCTGCAGGTAGGCATGCATGTCACGTAGCTCTTTCTGAAAGCTTTGATAGACTTCCAATTTTGTATCTTTTTTCTTATCCTCTGAGGAAATGTTGGATAATTTCAAATATGAAAGCTCAGTGTGATGTGACTTTAAATTTCTCGGAATGGTTGTCTAAGAATTTCTGTTAAATAGCTTCATTTCACATGAAACAAAATTATTCGAGTTGATTTTTTTTAAATTTCTGATAAATTATTAATGAAATCTCACTCCAAGTTTTGTATGCAGAAGATAAATTTTTATGTGCAAAAGTAGAAGTTCTCATACTTTTGATCTGTTTTGCTCCTTCTGTCTTAATTTGTCTGTGTGGAGGGATCAAACCTCTATGTGTCAAAGGCACAAATAACCTTTTCTGATTAATAATCAGGTGAATTGTCAGGTTCAGTTTGTGGCAACACTTGAATGTGCGTACGTGGGACAAGTAGTGCGGATGAGATTGCTGACAGAAGCTGTCAAATTTTTAAAGACTCTGATATAAATGTAGTTATACCAGTATTCTACTGACAGCGTTGGAATAGTGATTTCATTAAATCTTTTTGATGCAGAAAGTCATACTGTTGATTTGAAGAATAAAGCGAAATTCGGACAGTTTGGTTGTTCCTGAATATCGAGGAACATACTGGCTGTTAGAATAAATTAGGGTTTGAGACCAGCAAGTAGTCATTACAGTTACTGTAGTGTAACCTTGTGGTGAGGACACAGTCTGTCCAGGGAACCTTAGGAAGCCAGCAGTATGAGGGATTTAAGAATTTTGTATTTTGGATGGGGGTGTGAGAAGGGAAATAGTAAGCTTTATCAAGTGATTAACTGCCTATTCTGTTTAGGTTGATCCACAAAAATACAAGAGCATCTTCAACGGATTTTCAGTGACAGTCAAGGAAGATGGCGTACGTGGCTTGGCTAAGGGATGGGCTCCAACCTTCTTCGGATATTCCATGCAGGGGCTTTGTAAATTTGGTTTCTATGAAGTTTTCAAAATTCTATATGGCAACATAATGGGAGAGGTAAGTCTTTAAGTGGCTTGCCTGAGGCTATATATATCTGCAACATAACAGTATTAGTGATGCAGAGTAATCACAAAAGCACAATTCATTAACAAAAATGTGTGTTCAAATTTACTTCAGGAAAATGCATATTTGTGGCGTACTTCGCTGTATTTAGCTGCATCTGCCAGTGCGGAGTTTTTTGCTGACATTGCTCTGGCTCCAATGGAAGCTGCTAAAGTTCGTATTCAGACACAGCCTGGATATGCTAACACTCTACGAGAGGCTATGCCTAAAATGTTTGCGGAAGAAGGCATCTGGGCGTAAGTATCTCTTGATTTTAGTTTTTATTTTTACTCGGTATTTATTCCAAATGAAAAACTTGCTAAAACTTACTGTGATTTAGCTTTATAACACTCTTTAGTCTTACTGTTTGAAGATAACAGCATACTTCATTGAACCTGTGCTGAACTGGCTGTTAATTCCACATGCTCCTTAGATCCATCTTTGTGAGTATCTTTGTGCTGAGTTCTGCTGGATAACTTCAGTTTCTAGCAGTTCCAGTCGGAGATACTCAGCAACTTTTTTGGTTGTACAGTCAAAGATGCTTGAGTCATTGGCATGTAAGAGTAATATAACTGCATGTTAGCTTTCTGTTCTGATAGAAATGGCTGCTAATACACAAGTCATTTATCGCTATCGGGACTTGGCTGATACGCAGACATGAGCCTTACTGCACTTGTAGTGTCAATACTACATTATTCCTTTAGGGCATTGTAATTGAAAAGTGACTCCAGCAACAGCTGTGCAGCGTAGGGATCGGGTAAATTGCAATTTGTGGTGTGGTGTTTTAGTACTCGGGAACTGGTAAAACTAAAATTCAGTCTGTAGGTATTGAGATGCTTACAGTATCAGTATTTAGAAGTTGTATTCTCAATAGCAACAATAAGCTAGTTTTTCAATTTAGAAATGTACCTTAAATACGGGAGAGACTGAAACCAAATTTCTCTCTTCTCTGATTAAGCTTCTACAAAGGTGTGGCTCCACTATGGATGAGGCAGATTCCATACACAATGATGAAATTTGCCTGTTTTGAACGTACTGTTGAAGCTCTCTACAAGTACGTCGTTCCTAAGCCGCGAAGTGAATGTTCAAAAGGAGAACAGCTGGTAGTCACCTTTGTTGCAGGCTATATTGGTAAGGAATCTTTTAAGTCCTACGTTTCATTAATGAAGTACTGCAACTCTAGAAGCATGTGTCCCGTTTCAGTGTCTGAGATAAATGTAAATAGAATTGGAGAATTTACTTGTAGCTTTAAAACATGCAAGGGAAAAAACTGCATTTATCTGTAAGTGAACATGACTATATAGTAGGAGAATACTTTTTGATTGTTCTCATGTATTACCAATATTAACGTCCAAGTTTAGAAACTGCAGCTGATTTAAGTGAAAAAACTTGCACCTTTGCTAGGCTGGGGTAGGCTGAGGGAAGGGGAGACAAATTGGATCGAAGGGGGATTTTCAATATCGAAAGATTCAGGAGAAGTGCAGAAAAGGTGCTGTGAGAGCAGAACCGAGGAGTTTTCTAATATTCACGTCACGTTACAAGTATGTACTTGCTGTCCTAGGGCACCAGAAGGCTTGACATACCTTCTGTGCAATTTATTAGTAATTTTTTAGAAGGTGTGGTTTCAGTTCATTGTACTTTGTGGCAATGGTACAGCTAAAACACCAGAGAACTAATGTAAAATTATTCTTTCAGCTGGTGTGTTCTGTGCAATTGTTTCCCATCCTGCTGACTCTGTGGTGTCTGTATTGAACAAAGAAAAGGGCAGTTCTGCTATGCAGGTTCTCCAGAGGCTTGGATTCAAAGGTACATCCTTACTGTCATGTATTTTAGATTGTTTGTGGTGTCTTGTTTTGGGGAGGATTTCCTTTTTTCCTGGCTTCCTGTGTTACTCATGCTTTATGTTTTGCTCTATAGGTGTATGGAAAGGTCTGTTTGCTCGTATCATTATGATCGGTACCCTGACTGCACTACAGTGGTTCATCTATGACTCTGTGAAGGTTTATTTCAGACTTCCTCGTCCACCTCCACCCGAAATGCCAGAATCTCTGAAGAAGAAGCTTGGTCTAACTGAATAGACAACTCATGGACTGACTGTGCTGGCTGTCCCAGTAATGAGTTTCATGAAACTTTTATATATTTGACTATGTAGAAAACAAACTCTATATGATGTTATTATTGGCTGTGCCCTCTTCACACATGAGGGTTTAACTTCTACCACTGTCATTGCCTGAAATAAATAAGAAACAGAGTGCTTAGTGTCTGTTTACTATTGCATACGTAAACTTTGTTTCATAGCAGCAAATACCTCGAATACTCCCCCTGCCCCACCCCCACCAAAAAAAAAAGTGAAAAATAACCTGTTCTACACTTTCGGAACTAGAGAATTGTATAACAATTGTAACAAAAATAGGCTTTCACAGTTTCCAGAGAAGTGCCAAGAACCTATCCTGGCAGAACTACAGAAACTAACTGTGGTTCTGTGCACTTTGAGTGGCCTGTTCTGTTTGCCTGTAATAAGCTGTTACTGTAGAATGGTTGAACTCCTGAAGGGCTGAGGTGAGACTGCAGTCTGATAGAGCATCATGGCCATAATAATGATGTTCTGTTATGGAGTTAAAAGGAACCTTATACATAATGGAGCTGTTTCTGCTTTGGGGTGGTCATCCCAACACAACTAATTTACGCTTACTTAACTTGTGCTTTTGCTGGCTTTGAACCATGCCAAAGAACTCTGTCCTTTTGGTTGTACTGTAGAATTAAGCAGTAGCTGCTATCTTAACAAAAGAAAAGTTGATGTTAATAAAGATTCTCAAAGATATGTGGCCACTAAAAGCTTACTAGACCTTTATGATGAAATAAAAATAGCTTGCCTGGTATTGTAGAGTTTGACAAACTCGCTGGCTTTTCCCTGCAGTTGGTACTTCCTGTAGGTGCTTTTCTTTTTTGGGGGGGAGGAGGAGAATATTGAGTTAATTTAACTAATATTAAGTTTTGGTTGAACCATGCACTTCTGCAGTGCAAGAAGCCATACCAATTTTTTTTGGACCTTGCTTGATGTGAAGAAATCCAGGCTCCTAGGTATGCAAGAGGTGACACACGGTGTTTTGTTAAAGCAATGAATGTTTTTTCCACTCTTACAGAAAGATGAGCATGCTGCCTTCTGCGTTTCGCCTGATCGAGAGCGCACAGTTGATAATGGCATTGAGAAAAACCCAGAAATAGTCTATAAAGGGTTTGCATCCGGTACTACTTTGTTCTCTTAGTAGAGCTGGAGCTTAAGTGTCTTTTGTACAAAACTGTTTGGATGTGCTGTTCAGCATGTGAGCTGACGATACTGAGCTTAGCTTGGCATTCACCTATGTTGTGCTGCTCCAGACTCTAGTAAAGAGTCTTCTGTTCTTCAGAGTCAAATGCTGTTAAAGCTTGTGCTATTGGATTAGCATAAATACACTGACTGCTGTGTCTTACTGGGATCTGAAGTTCCTACTACTATTTGCCCCCTGGGAAAACACTCCAACTTCCATGAGTTTGAATGGTTATGCTAAACAAGCAAGATGAGCCTTATTTTGACTCCGCTACCTTTCAAAATGTGGAGTAAAGTCTAAAACTGCTCTTTTTCCCTGTCACCATGACAGTAAATGTTCTTGGAGTGGTTCGTATCTTAACTGCGTTATACAGTCCAGACAAGCATTTGTACCAGTACCTTGGTGTTGAATTAAATATATTTCATGGTAGCGTGCGTACATCTTGTTGCCCGATTGAGAGTGGGAAGCTTTGAGATTACTTAATGCATCATTAAATGCTCCTAAGAGCTTTCTTGGAGAAGAGCATTAATTATGACTTGATCTTGTATCAAGACCATTGATGTTAAATCAGCTTTTGAAGTTAATTTTTGTATGTGGTTCAACTTGTTAGAAAAAAAACTATTTTTGCGTACTGGATAAGTTTCTTTAAAGGTGTGTTTTAACTTGGTAGACTTTGTTTGCAGGAAAACATCTCACATGCCTTCTAATCCTGGGGAATGAATCACTTTGAAATTTTAAGGCTAGCAAAAGAGGGAGATAAAACTTGGCTGATGCAGTGGGCTAGTCTGGTTGTTAACTAATAGCAGTGATAAGCTAAATTGCTCAAGACTTTCTTGTTATTCTGTGTGTGGGGCAAAATGGCACAATATTTCTCTAGACTTGGGTCACCTATATGTGGCCATTTTAAATACGTGCAGTATTAAAAAATCTTAAATTCGTTTTCTCCTTTCTCAAGGGTAGACCTGAAACTATCTTTTTAAAGATGCTCACATAATTTTATCAAGGTAAATCTGAGGTAAGACTACAAGGGGCAGCTAGCTACTCCACTTCTGTAACTGCGAAAGGGAAAATATACTTAATGCTACTTGTAGTGTTCTGTTTCAGTGGAAAACCTGAGAGGGGGAGAGAACTGCCTTACAGCCGCCGCGTTCATTGACATTCAGCCACAGGCTTGTACGGATGCTTGAGATGAAGGTTTAACTTGTCAACTGGTTAAAGGGTCACCCACTGATCATTTTAAATGAGCTTCAGTGGGAAAACTAGTGTCAAAACGCATTTAAAAGGTCAACTTCTGTCATCGATAGCTGCTTTTATAGCATAATGTTTGGTAGTTGAAAGTTGACAAAAGATGGGGCAGGGGAGCAGTGATGCTTTTGATGGGCTTGCGTTTTCATTGCAAGGGAAGAAGTCCTATATCAAGAAGGAGCACGCTGTTTGCGACTTGGATAACCATAAAGTGCTTTGTAAAACGTGGATGATGTACATGCTGCTTGTGTGTATTGTTTCAGGAGGGAAAAAAACATCCTTACTTGCTATTACTGGGGCTGAGATCAGCTTTCAGGTTCAAAGTGCACTGTATAAATTTGGAATAACGACTCAAATCACACCCTGTGTATCAGGTTGTACTACAGATAAAATGTGCTGCTGATACTTGCTGAAATATTTTGTTGCATATCATTTTAAAATGGGCTGTACTGATGCAAATAGTTGTAATTCATTTACATTTCTACATAGAAATGATGTAGTTCACAGCGAAAACAATAAAAAATACTGCTTTTTTGTAGCAAATATGAGTCCCTTGGATAGCTGACCTTAGTAGCTACACGATCGTGTTACAGCGTATGATTTTTCTAACTCTGAGTGATGTGGGAGAAGGATGTTGCTCCTGGCTGAGCTGTTGTGCTGGTGTCTAAAAGAAGATTTTTAATGTGTTGGGGTTACTTTGCTTATGTCATTTCTTTTCAGTATTGATCACTTAGTGCTGGCTTTTTTTTAATTAGTATTATTTTTCCTTGTTAGTTGCTGGCAAGTTCTGTACCTGCATGCTAAGATAAAGCCAAGATGTCCCGAGTATCACTGCAGGACTGCATGGGATGCTATGTTTTAAGTAGTATAGCTGTACTTCTCATTATTACCTGAGTCTTTAAAACACTTAACAAAATTGAAGATAGTATTGTTGAGTGCGCCTAGAAATGAACTAGGTAAGGGGTTGTAGTTTTACTGAGCTGATGCTCTCCCCACTGCTGACAGTACTAAACCAAGGAGGTGAGGTTAGTCTGCTTAAAATTTATGAAAGATCCCTCACTTTCTGCCTCGTCTCCACTGCAGAAAGAGCTTTGCCTCTGTCCTTAGAACAAAGCTACTTTTTTTTTTTTAGTACAGTGGAGGTGTATACTTGAAAGGCTAATGCAGATTTGTAATACCTGTGCAGATTGTGGGCGAACTGATCTCTTCTCTTCTGAGGATAATACAGTGGGTGTGCAAATTTTAGATCCAGATTTCTTACTTTTTTTTTTTTTTTTGTCCAAGAAGACTTTACCTTTGTGACTTTAACTTTTTGTCTCTTGTAGCAACAAAGCTTATGAAAGTATCGTAAGATATTGGACCTGCACTTTGAGGAGAGGAAGATTGGATGGTCTGCTTACATCTATAGATAGAATGAAATCAATGGTTCTGTAGTATTTTTTGCATACTTAAATTCCCATGGAGACCATAAACAGGACTGTATATTTGACTTCTCACTGGTAGATGTGATCTAAGATTTGGAGATTATTCATTTGAGGGTTGAAAATAAAACCAACAGTTGTTTATGCTGGCTTATTTTTTGGTTACTGTTCCAAAGAGAATGTGCTCTTTTCATCCAGAATGACCTCTTTGCTGTGTCAAGACATCTCTGATTAACTCTGCAGCTGGAGCATATTTTCCACCTCCCTTCACTTGTGTAAATAGTGCTCTACTGGTTCTCCAGTTCTGTGTCTCCGTTTTTTTTACTACGGATCACAAATGATTCATTCATAAAGTTGAACACAAAATAAATTACTATAGCTCATGATGCAATTAATCCCGTGGTAACTGTTAACTGAAAGGCACAGATTTCTCTTACTGCTCTATCAATGTTCTTTTGGCAGCCATGCCTGTTGATGGGACTGTGACATGACTTTGCACACAAAAAAACCCCACCCTAGGATTGGTGAATTCAGTGAATATCAGGCTTCAATATACAAATGAGATTTATTTATTATGTAAACCCAAACTTATTGTGTGTGTATGTCTGTGTGTGCGTGTATATATATATTCAGGTATGATGTACAGCTTAACTTGGCTGAGCATTCTGGATATTTAATTTTTCTGTCTCCTTTAAATGCCATTTGGTTATTTTCAAGGGTTTGCTTAAGAACTGCGTGAAACACTGGTTAGTAAATAGGATCTGTGGATGCTCTTCTAGGAAATCTTGCGACAGATTTATCTGTGTGGTCTGTCAGGGGGACTGGAAAGGGGTAAAAGGAAATTGGGAGGTAGGAATGGATCTATATGAAAAAGAGGAAAACTTGATGAAACACAGCATTTGGACTTCATGATCTTAGAGGCCTTTTCCAACATTCATGATTCTGTGATTTGTGGTTGACTAACAGCAATGAAGCAAGCAATGTGCAGAAGACCAGCAACATGAAGCAAGCCAGAAGATAGGGATTGCTAAATGAGGATGAGAATAGTGAGTGAGAGGAATGGTTATGTCTTCCTTGCAACCAAGAGTCTAGTAGCTCTGAGATGTTCAGGTATGACCAACTAAACAACTGGGATGTTTTAAAGGCCTTATTGTATGCTTATACTTCTTGGTATAATTTAATTTATAGGGATTTTCTGAATTGCTTTATTTCCCCTAGTTGTTTCTATAGCTATTTTAATTCTTATTTAATGCAGTTTTCCCCCTTTACTCTGCTAAACCCATTCCCATTATCCTGTTACATCAGACTACTGCCTACTGCATTTTCAAACATCTCCTATCTCGTAAATGTTTGGTATTCACCACAGAAATACTCCCAGTGGCCCGTATCAGTCTAACCTTCTGGGACCTAAGTAACTTCTCTTTGCTGCTTCCTGTTGTATTTTACAGGCTAAGAAACACCGAATGAGTAATGCTGTTCCGATTCCTGAACAGATACCGTGACACTGGGAGAAAGCTATCAGCAGGATTAGTAGGTCTTTCAAAGCATTGTTCCCATATACAGTTCCGTGTTTTAAAGATATAACAGTGCAGTACAGTAATTATGATTTACAATTATAAAGCCTCACACAAAACCTTATATAAATTATTCCACCCAAAGGTGGGACAAACTTTTTGCAAGGCATGAGCAGTATTTCTGGGCATTACTTGCTTCACTGCATTTACCTCTTTAAATATTTTTTTTTTTTTTTAAAAAGTGCTATAGTTTACAAAAATCACAGACTGAATATATTGAGACAAATACTAAATTGCTCCTACATTTAACTAATTCTTGTTCAACTCTGTCTGGAAATCACAATTTTATTCCTTCCTTTGGAGGAAAGCTGAAGTTCTGTTAGTCTTGGATCGTGCTTTCTTCCTGAAAGCAAACTCTGAAGGTAAGAAAAACATATTATGCATTAACACTTTTATTGTAAAAACCAGCAATTTATTAAATATAGCATCTGCCATCCTTCAGAAAGACAAATACATGCACAGAGACACTGGTTTTTTGCTCACAGTATAGCTTGTCCCCTGAAATCAGAATGACTTTTTCTGTCCTTTTCAAAGGAAGAGGACAAAGCTCTAAGTTTCAATGCGCTTCTAAATGAAGCCTTTAAATACTGTCTTTCTTTTTAGTACTACATGTGATGGAGTTCACACTCCTCAAACACTACTGTTCCTTAGGCAGTGGCAATTCACAGTGATCAATTCATGTCTGAAATCTTGGTTATTTCATCTTTCATATCTTTGATCTCAGTTTGAACTCTTGTTAGATTGGCCAATTTCTCATTCAGTAAAGCAATTTCTTTCTCCCGTTGTAATACATCCTCCACTAGTCTTCCTATTCTCAGTGTTAGGTCATTTATTAATGGCTCCAAGATGGCAAAATCCTTTTTAAGTTTGTATATCTTGGGTTTTAAATCATTTGCAAATGTAACCGTCTTCAGAACTTTTGCTCTGTCACCTTCGAGATTCAAAAGTCTATCCGAATGCTTGTTAAAATAATTCTTTAACTCAGACAATGCTGTCTTAATTTGCTCAATTTTTCTTGCATTACTGGATGCTAAGTTTTGTAGTTCTGTGCTTCGGTCGATGCTACTGGTAAGCAGGTCACCTATATTTTTTACTGTCTTCTTTTCACCTTTTTCTACTTTATCTTCTAGTGTTTGCAAAGCATCTCCCAACGCAGTCATATCTGAGACCAAGCCTGAAATGCGCCTTATGTCAGTTTTCACCGTCACAATCATCAAAGTTATGTTTTTTGCTACAGACGCTGCATTCTGTTCAACACTTGAAACTGCATGAAAAAGGGTTGTTAAATTCTTTTGCAGTTCTTCTTGTTTTTTAATTATGCTGCTAGACCATGTTTTCATTGTATAAATATATTCCTGCAGATGTTTAATATGAGAAACTATTTGAAGGTCTTCCAGCTGTTCCATTAAGTTCCAAGTCTCTTCACACTGGAGGGAGACAAAAAATTTTTAACAAGATTTCTACTCAACACCTCATATCAAAATTACTCTAATGAAATATTTTACTATTCTGAAATGGAGCACAAACCCCCTCTTGCAACAGAACCAAATTTTTTTTTCCTTTTGGTATAGAAAACAAATTCAAATGTTACTACTTTTTCTATTATAACAAAAATTACAGGAAGGTGCTATATGACTTTCCAGCTTGACCTCTGAAAACACAAGTCATGCTTCTGATTTACAGAAATTTTTGTATTAACCCTATAACATCTGCAATGCAGAAAAACACGCAGAAGGACATTCAGAAATGTTTTAGATACCTGTTTTTAAATATTCTTACTTAAAAATCATGGACTATAATTAACCATTGCATTTTTATTTTGGTAATTATATTTTTAACATGGTGTTCACAGAAGGAAAAGCCAAAGTAATCAGGCATAGTTCCCTTCTGTTTAAATCGCTACCAATAGGCTTCCCAGGAAAAACATTACCTGAAGAGCCTGCCTCCATAAAAGCTATGTTAATGAAGGAACACCAACGCTACTGCTGGGTTTTGACTGAATTTGCTAGTTCACTTTTTAAAAAAAAATGTTTCTAATGATTGGTTCTTGGTTTTCAAATTTCAGAGGAAGAAAGGAAAACACCTGAGTGATCCCATCCTGTTCAATCCCCAGTAAGTCAGTGTACAACTTGGAGAGAAAAAAAACCCCACTCAACGGGCAACCTGATTCATTCTTAGAGGCTACAGATTCCTACTAATTCTTCTCTGGACACTAGTAGTAAAATTATCACCAAAGAAACAGGTATTTTTAACTTTCTGATTGTGTGAGTAATTTCTCACTAGCACAGAACTGCTTGCTTAAAAATTAAATACCAAAATTTAGGTTGTGGAGAGGTGTGCTGGTTTCCTAGTTAATGCCCTCTCAGAATAAGGATTTCTCGTTCAGTCTTTTGTGTACACTCAGCTTTCAACAGGGCTGAGGTTGATGTAAGACATTAAACTGGGGAGCATACCACTGGTAACTTAGCTACCCTTTCCCAAAAATATATGAAGTAGAAACACACTGGACCACACTTGTGAAAAATATTTAAAAAAACCATGTTTGTGTAGAATAGGATTTCTGGAAGAGCAGTTTATTTTGAATTAGTTTATGCACCACAACAGGGCAATCCACTACAACATATTATTGTTGAATATGACTGTAAACAGATACAAATCTATACATAAGTAATAAATCGCTGAAACTGAAAAATCTTATAACATTGAGAAATGCTGGTTTAATAGTCTCTTGAATGGGCAGCACCAACTGTTCAGCAGAGTTCTACATAAAAGAATGTATAAAACCAGAAAAACTTAAGTGATTAAGTCATATGTGTTCTGGGTTCATAGTGTCTACTAAGCAATCTCTATTCCTGAGTTCTGGAATCAGAAATTAGCAAGACGTTAAGTCTGTGGACACAAATTTATGGTGGTCCCACAATCCAGCTTTCAATGAACAGCTATCGGGCAGTACCACATCCTGCGTTAAGTTGATCTATGAGACCTTTGCATAAATTAGATGTTCCCTGCTCCCAAGTATGTAACTCTATGGCTTTCATTAGATGCTTCTGCAGTTCTTGGCTCACCAAACTTTGGGAAACAAAGTCACTAACACAGTTAATCTTTTTTTCTTTTTTGAAATGCAAAGCAGTATCAGACATGTCAAATAATGCCCAACAGAGAATGTTCTACATAAGGTTAAACTTCTAACAGCACCATAACAAACAAACAAACAACTTCCCCAATAAAAAAAAAAACAAACAAACAACAAACAAACCAAAATAACAAACACCACAAACTAATACAGTGGCTCATCGCACCACGCTTGCAAATTAAATGATGGAAGAATCTAACAGGAATATCTGTTAATAAGAACTTTAGTCTGTATGTAGTCCAATGACTTCAATAGCAGGACACTATGCCAGTGATTTCAGAAAGTTTGAAAGAGCCGGAAATGAGGTCTGAGGAGGCTATTTGTATGGGGTCAGAGAGATAACAAGATAACACCGGCTGCTATAATAACCCCCTGCTTATAAATACCAGTACAAGAGAAGGTTCTCAGCAGGGGTACTTCCCTAATGTTTTCTGTGATGCTGTTGTATCTACGCTTCAGCTGTTAAAAATGTACTTAGTGCTTCCCTGCACGTAGTAAAATATGTAGATCTCAGTAGATACAACTCTGACATTGAGGAATCTGTACTTTAAGAGCAAAAACATTATGGTATATACCACATTAAGAGTGAGGTACATGTACGTCTGCCTAGAGATAAGAACTTTGATGTTCTTTGTGTTACGAGTCCATGGAATATAATGCAAAAGGTAACAATATAAAAAACTAAGCAGTGAAAACAAAGTATAATCTGATGTCTCCAGTTGTGATTTTTTTTCTCCTTAAATCTAAATACGTTGCTTCAAATTCCTTTTTAATAAATATGCTGAAAATAATCCTTTATTTAAGAAAATACTCCTTTCCTCCTTCAACACAGTATTTCTTGCTCTCTAGCCTATTCTAAGTTTGCCTCTCAGTCTGCTCCAATGCCCATTTAAATTAATGACAATATTTCAGCTATCCTTAACATACATTGGAGTCACATTATTTCTAATAAAGTGCTCTTGCATCAATGAAAACCTTAAGTCCAAATTCACTTATCCCCATCCTGGTCATTTTCTAACTTAGAGCTCTCTGAAGTTATTTCTTTTGCTTTTGAAGATACTTTTATGTCATGCACTACTTCTTCTAAAACCGGTACTTCCTTCTCTGCTCTCAGTATGCTGTCATTGTGCTGTATGCCTTCAAGAACTTTTTGCATGGCCATTGTATCAGAAACAGTTTTCAGCATATCGTTTTCCACAGTATACAGCCGTGTTGTCAAGTCCTCTATCTTTTTCTCCATGCTTAGCAATTCACTTGATAATCTAAGAATGGAGTGAATAGCATTTTCAATTGCTGGCAAATGAGTCTTGCACTCCTCAATTTTAGGTTCATAGTTTGCAAGTTTCTGATTCAGGTCTATGTTCTTGGCTACCAGACTATTCTGTTGTTCTTCTAGCTTTTCAACTGCCTTTGCATGCGAGTGCAACTTTTGTTCAACTCTAGAGAATTCATCATCTTCTTGCCTTTTTAGTGTTTTAATATTTCTGGTTGTACTGTCTTCCAGATCTCTTACTCTCTCTGAAAGGGATTTAACTCTTTGGTCAACTTCATTAATTTTGTTAGTAACTTCTGTATGTATGAACTTTGCTTCAGATTTTAAACTGCTCGTGTTTGTATTCATTTCATCCAAGCTTCTTCTCCAGGAGTCCGTAACATTTTGGAACTTCTCATTAATATTCTGCATCTTTATCGAGAGAGTCTGTCCATTGTTCTGAATATCATTTATGATGTTATGAAGAGAGGATATTTCCTCCTTAAATTCAGTCATCACAGAGATGGATGAGGCAGCTTCTTGTAGGATATTTTCAGAAGACTCAAGCTGCATTTATAACACAAAACAATGCCCATGTCTGCTTAGTCAAAGTAAGAATAGAAAACTATTTATATATATTTAAACAGGTAATAAAGTCCCTTAGAAGTAATTTTACTTGTTACAAAGTTCCTATACAATTTGTTTTCATATTTCATCTTTAAAATATTGTTGATTAACCTAGCACAAAAAAGAAAAGGGTATGCCTCTTTTTGAATTTCTGTAGAATACATGCCATTTTCTTTGTTGTCGGTCCTTTAGTTTCCATGGTGGTTTGCAGGTGTTTTTTTGGTTTTTTTTTTTCTGTTTTGTTTGTGTTTGTTAACATATATTACACTACGTAAATCCCATGCAACATTTTGCAATCTGTAGTGTATAAATATCCAAATTACATCATGTATAAATGACATCACTATGATATCAATGCTAAAACAACATTAGTAGCATAAGCCATCCTGTATTCCCATCATTATTTGTAAGATATAGGGGATAATTTGTCAGCCAGCTCAAGTTTTCTACTTGGTAACGTGACACATAGATAATAAAATAAAATAGCTATGGAAAAAAAAATACTACTATGGCTTCGCAATGTCTTTCACATTATTAGAAAAGGTCTACTACATAAAAATACCTGTAAATTTTCTTCAGAACAATGTGTATTAGAATTAGAACAGTATTGGTAGAATGAAGTAAATGCATAAATGTAAGTTTTTAAAAAAACCCAAAACACACTTAGTGTTTAAAAAGTAATACTAAGATACAACCACTATATTCACATACTTGAAAAATGGTATGGATTGACGCATTTAGCCCCATGAAATATTCTCCAAAGGCCTATTCACAGGCAAGTAGAACACATTATAAAAATGTATTTTAAAACAGTCAGTTAAATCACAATAAAGTAAAACAACAGCAAATGTCCACTAGAGATTATCCAATTAATATGTTGACGATTACCTTTTCAGAAATTAAGTTAACTTTATTTTCCACATCTAGGAATTTTTCAGCTTCTTGCTGTAAGAAATTATACTTTTTTTCCATATCAGCAAATTGATTTGAGTGTTGACACATGAACCTGCAAATTGCAAATAAATAATTAGTAAAGTAACTACATAGTTAGCATATATTGAGTGTTCCTGGACCTGATTCACCACAATCTGTTACTGCAGGGATTTATGTTCACAGAATTTGCTAGATCAATACATGGAAAAAAAAATAAAAAAAAAGGATCTAATGAAATTGATCTGTCTTCATACCAGAGTTATCTTCCCATAGAGGTGGAAAAATAAGGAAACATCCACAGATCTGTTTTGTTTTCACACTGTATGCCATTCAAAAAGGCAAAAAGTTGGATAAGACTGCTGACATAGGAAGGCTATTACATGCTTATAATGCATTGCCTCACAATCTATTTCATGGATATAGTAATATTTAATCTAAAAATAATTTAGACTTTCTTGCAAAGCACCACAAAACAATGCCTAGAAGCCTTTGGATTTAATAAGGCCTTTAATGTTGTTTGATTGTAACCACCTGAGAACACGTGGTGGGTTGTGGCAAACCTTGTACAGCTACTGTTATGATGCTGCTGGTTTTGTGAACAGATAATCTAGATCTCCATCCCGTGCTTTACACACATTATAGATTCACTGACTGTGAACTTGGGAGCTTTGTGATTTGTAAACACTTTGTCCAGTTAAAACTGAAATGAGACAACCAAGCAAAAAACCTTAATTTTGCTGGAAGTTTATTAATTTCAAAACAAGGTTTATTGTAGACTATACAAGGGTCTTCTCAGAAGTAAGAACTACTTTATTTAAAACAATAGGGTTTATTTAAAATACTTGTGCTTTCATAAATTGCTCTTTAGTAGTATATTGAATAGCATTTAGAAGTTTCAGAATATCTACAATATTGTGTATAAATTGTTAGGCAACGTAAGGTAAAATGCTAGCTAGATAAATGCAGAAGAGGTGTAAACAGATACATAAAATAAGCAGAAGCACCACTAATAATTTTATTTTAATATGTCATTCCATTTCTCAAGACGTAGATAATAAAGTCTATGTGATGCTGAAATAAGATGAAATTTTATCTTAATTTTCAGATTGATATAGGGAGTGTAATAATCCGGACTAATTTCTTTCACTAGCGTTCTGAGAATTTCATCGTATTTCTGGATGAAGCTCAGTTTCTGATGGAACTAAGGTATACTGACGCTGCTAAGATATCCCAAATCATTAATTTACAAAGATATTTGACCTTTACTTGCAGACTCCTCCTGATGAGCAATTTACCACAGCACCAAGCACGTTTCTTACAGAAAATGCTACTTTGTTTCTCTTGTTGACTGATTTATTACCTGCTACATAAGCCTTGTTGCATTTATCATCAAATTAAGTGCTCATTACAATGAAGACTGAATACAGTATGGAATACAAAAGAAAATATTTTAGAGGGTTACCTACCAGGTGAGCGCCAAGCAAACAGCAAGGCAAATTATGTTCAAGCTTGTCCGTGAGTCCATCCAAAAGGAACCCTGGGTTTTGCTGGTCCTGGGACCTGTCTGCTTCACACAATTACTGTGCTTCTCAGCCTTTTGTGAACCTTCATTGCTTTTGGATGAAGAAACACCTTTCTTCCTCTGCTTAACTTCAGACATGTTGTGGGTTTTTTTTAAAAAGTAGAAGCAAAAGAGAGAGCTAGAACAAAAAACAAACCAGAAAGGACTATTTACTTCTAAACATCCTCAAATATAACATTTTGTCTTTTAGTTACACAAATACACCTCGAAAATATTTCCTTCAGTGTTTAGTATGTTTTGTTATGTGAACTTTTCTGAAGTGTCATACTTTCGTAAGACTTTGTAAAAATGTTCATTATGTAGAGTACTGCTTTCTGATTTTCTCAAACTTTAGCTAATTTTTACATTCCCCAAAATATTTCACGTGTTGTGCACTAAGCCATTCTGATGATATATTTAAAATCACAAGGACAGAAAACATGATATTTCTTTTTATAGATGATTACTGTCACAATTTCATCAGCAATTTCATTATCCTGTGTTACTTGTAAATTTCTTTTAAAATTGCTTACTTCACATTAAAGGGGAAAATTAATTTTCTCATTTTTTAATAAAAAATGGGATGGCAAATCAAGCTTTAATTTAGAAATAGTTCTGCTGTAATGATTCCACGTCATCTGTAAAACTACAGACATTAGTTAATAGCCATCACTGGAAAAATACAGATTAATGAAATAATGTATCTAGATAAAAGAAAAGCTATAATTTCATCTTTGCTAAAATTGAGGTTCAAATATATTCAGGCAATATGAATCTCCACTTTCAAAGAGTTACAAAAGCTCACATTCTAGCCAACCAAGTGGAAGTACAGAGTGGAATTCTTAAGCCGAAAATCTTCCACCACACTGCTCAAAATAGACTAGAGCCTCGGTGGATTTGATTTAGCACAAACCGAGACAGAAATGTTATGCCGCTTTCCGCATCATTCTGCGGTGTTGCCACTTAGTCACACCTCGAAATAGAACTATTTAAATATTAGAGAGGCTTAGATAGTCATACATATGCATAAAAGACGTTGTTTAAAATCTAAATTTGTCACAAGAGCAGGAAGCTGAGAACTGTTTGGGAGTCACAGGACTAGGGAGCATGTTCTGAGGTTGAAGCATGTAGGAAAAAAACACCTCTTGCTCTCCAAAAAAAAAATTGCAGAAAGGGTTATTTTGTAGTAATAATAATAATAACAAAGATTCGAATGTTAGTTGGGGAAATTGATTAATCTAGAAACAACCACTCCGCCTTAACATCAAAGAATCATAGAATTGTCAGGGTTGGA